CGCGTGCTTTGTCGGGATCAATCTTGAGGCCATTGTTTGTGAAGAGGTGACCCATGAACGCTACTTCTTGTCGTCTCAATTTGAGCTTGTCTTTGTTTAGTGCCATCCCCCTCTCTCGGCATCTCTGCAGTAGTGCTTTTAGATGTCTGTCATGGTCCTCAGTCGCTTCCTTCAGGTCTTTACCTACACCATATATCAAGATGTCATCAGTAATGTCAAGTATTCCCTCGAGTCCTTCCAAGGCTTGGTTCACTCGTTTCTGAAATATTTCGGAGGATACAGACAGACCAAAGGGGAGTCGTAGCCACCGATACCTTCCGTAAGGTGTTGAGAATGTTGTGAGAAGACTGGACTCTTCGTCGAGGACACAGTGCCAGTAGCCTGCTTTAAGATCTACTGTTGAAAATACTTTAGCTTGTGCTAGTTCGGGTAGCATATCATCCAAGATTGGTAGCTGGTAGGTCTCTCTTTTCAGCACTGCATTGAGGTGCTTCGGGTCAATGCATATTCGTAGGGCTCCAGACTTCTTGGTAGCGATGATGATCCTTTTGTCTGTTTCTTAGTACGCCTTTCTTAGTACAGAAAGACTGCTGACAAGGTGTCCTGGGGTATGCTCCCCTGGCAAATTTTGAAATCTAGAGCTTCTGAAATCCCCGGAAACGCGTTTCAATCCAAAGAAAACATAAAAATAAACAATAATGATAATAACAAATTGTTCTTGTTGGGGCTACAGCCCACTCAACCCCATAGCTCCGCAGTCTCCGTATTAAAGGCACAAACCGGAAATGAAAAAAACCCCTTCGAACCGCTCTTAGCAGTCTGACAGGATCAGGCCGGCTGGATGTTGTTCGACATAGACCCATAGAAGCATTTATACAAGTAAAACGAGATGTATAGGACTGGATGCTTTAGAATGGAGTTTTGACGAAAAAAGGATTGTGTCCGCTTTACTCGGCAACTTCACCTTTGATCCAAAGCTCCTTAAAATGCCACAAATAAAAATCAAATGAATTATACTTTGAAGTAAAAACACCCCCGATTTCTTACCAAACATCCTCCTTCAGTACTCGCACACTAAAGTTGGTCAATTTTACTGTATTTTTTGCATAATTAATAATGAACAAGGTACAATCAAATATGGCCACGTTTCAAAGCCTAGCGAATCTAAGTAAGGCAGGAACAGAAGTATCACATCGCCACTTTTCTCATTTAAATACGACAGTAAGAATTGGTCAATGTCTCGGGAGCATATTCCCAAAGATGGAGATTGTTGTTTTCGAGCGGTGGCGAGGAACTTTTTTCGTATTACGAGGACGGGACAAATAGAAGTGGTTGAGCATTTAGCTAATCTTGGTCTTTTCAAACTAAGCGAAGACAGTTTAGTCACCAAGCTGAGAGAATTTGCCGTTTCAGAGTGATCAGGAGAGAACAGGCAACACTATGAAAACTTCCTAACCACTGACAATTTTGAAAACGAAGTTAGCGGTTTTCCCATCGTGGTTACTTTACCAGAGAGCTGGGAAATCTTCTGGTTCTAGCAATGGCTAACTTCTTAAAAATGGCAATTATGATCTTTTCATCTCTGGAAACTACCCAAATATTCCTATACTGCCACGTCAACAGTCACATGGCATGCCTTCGTTATTTGTATAATTTAATGCTGCTGATTGTGGCACTACGATTACGTCTGTCGAGAAAATGATCTCTCGGAGCCAGAAGAAAAGATAAGCGAAGAAAAAAAAAAGAGAAAAACGAGCTAAGGTGTCTGCTCCTGTCGAGTCAACAGGAAAGGCCAAGGGTCAGTAGCAAATATTTGCAAGAACGTAATTGGTTCATACTCAAGCAGGTGTAAGTGTCTTAAAGCTCGTGTAAGTTGCGCCGGAAGTTGGACATGCAGCGGTTGTTCAAATCCATTTGGACAACGTCAATCCGAAAGTGTAAATACTAAGTGCAGTCCATCAAGAAAACAGCGAAAGTAAGATTTTGAAAACTTGAAAAAGCATACCTCGCAAGCTTACCGTGATATGAAAGCAGAACCGCCACGAGAGGGAGCACTGGTGAGGGAGGAGTTCTTTGTCGTGGAAGAAATTATATAACTGTCCCTTGTAAGCGTGAGGGAACTGAGTACTTCCTCTTTGCTGTTCTCAAGGAAGTGAACATCATCAAATGTACTGAGGAATGCTATAACTTTTTTTATGCTTTGTTAAATTTTGTTACTGTCGCTCAAAAGACAAACTATAATTTCGAAAATGAATAGATATAAATGCCAAATTAAGCTGTAATAGGCTACAAGTTATAGATAACTTTATATTTTTATCAGAGGGCACGGTAACAAATCCTGTAATCTGATTAGCTCTTAGCGCGGTCCGTATTTTTCTATCTCTGCTCACGGGCACGGTAACGCTTTCGTGAGTCACCGAGTACATCCCTACCTTTGTTGCCATTTTTCATAAATGTATCTCGTTTTTCCGGCTTGGCAGTATTTCTAAGTACAGACGTCGGTCGTTAACTCAAGCCGTTAAGTTACTTTTTAATCCTCTTTTCTCTCAAATCACTTTAATGACAGAAAAATATTAATTTCGAAATTAATTTGTGTAAGCAAGAGTCATTAAATTGGGTGACAAGCGGCCTAAAAACCTTCTGTAATTACCATTAATCTTTCACAAAAAGTACCTGGAAAGTTAAAAGAATTAATCGATAGAACTTTAATTCATTTAATATCTGACTTCTCTCAAACAATTTGTACCCACTGTTCCTCTGGTCCTCTGTACCCTCTATTCTTCTGTTCCTCTGAGCCTACTGTTCCTCTTGTCCCCTGTACCCACTGTTCCACTGGTCCTCTGTACCCACTGTTCCTCTGGTCCTCTGTACACACTATTCCCCTGGTCCTCTGAACCCATTGTTCCTCTGGTCCTCTGTACCCATTATTCCTCTGTTCCTCTGAGCCCAATTTTTCACTGTTGCTCTGTACCCACTGTTCTTCCTGTTCCTCTGTACCTACTGTTCCTCCTGTTCCTCTGTACCCACTGTTCCACTGATCCCCTCTACCAACTATTCCTCTTCCTCACACACACACACGCGAACACTACTGTAAACATCCTAAGAACCAGTTCTATTTACTCTTCTCTTTTAAACAACGTCTTTGTTCCTCCCACTGCCGAAACCAAAATTCTACGCCACGGATTTACAAAAACTACCATCAAGAACGTTTATCTTATGCCATTTAAAGTTACAAACGAAGTTAAAATAATAATGTTTCAGTATAAAGTGATTCATAACGTGCTTCCAACTCGCGCCACTCTTTACCGAGACGGCATTTCAGAGAGCCCCATATGCAACCTATGCAATACAGAAAAACAAACGCTGCATCACCTATTAATAAACTGCACACTAATACTCGACTTCTGGATTCTGTTTCAAGACTGGTGGCACCAAAAAACAAATGAAACAATAACGTTATCCACAAGTCATATACTCTATGGCTGGCATTATAGGACAAAGCATTGGCGAGTCCTAAATTATTGCCTATTGTTAGCCAAATATCACATTTTCTGCACAAGCCTTTGCGGAGACATCTTAGATTTTCAAATCTTCCTACTGTTCATCACGGGAAAACTTGAAATCCTAAAAGAGATCGCGACCGCAAAAAAAGAACTTCCGAAATTTTATCGCACGTGGGCTTTTTTACTTTAATTTTTCATACTGCTGTTGTTTTTAGGTTAGACTTATACTTAACTTTGTATCCTGACCTGTATGTTTACTTGTGATTGTATTTTAATTGAAAAGAACTTTGTAAACACGCCAACCGTAAATTAAATTAATGTTAATAGTATTGTAATACATGTATCGTAATGTAGTGTATGCATAATTTGTGTAAGTATAAGTATCAGTAGTGTTAGTAGCAAGTACAATGTAAGTGTAATTAATGCTGTAAGTAGTATAAGTGATCGTCTTGTAAATAAAATTGTTTAAAAAAAAAAAAACTATTCCTCTGGTCCTCTGAGACTGCAGTCCCTCTAGTCCTCCGTAACCACTGTTCCACTGTTCGACTGTTCGACTGTTCGACTGTTCGACTGTTCGACTGTTCGACTGTTCGACTGTTCGACTCTTCGACTGTTCGACTCTTCGACTGTTCCACTGTTCCACGGTTCCACGGTTCCACGGTTCCACGGTTCCACGGTTCCACGGTTCCACGGTTCCACGGTTCCACTGTTCCACGGTTCCACTGTTCCACGGTTCCACTGTTCCACGGTTCCACTGTTCCACTGTTGTACTGTTGTACTGTTCTACCTTTCTTCTAGTTCTCAGTAACTACTGTTCTACCGTTTCACTGGTCCTCCGTGCCGGCAACTGGTTTTCTGGTCCTCTGGTCCTCTGGTCCTCTGTTCCCTCTGTTCCACTGGTCCTCTGTGCTAACTGTTCCTCTGTGCTAACTGTTTCTCTGGTCCTCTGTGCCCACTGTTCCTCTAGTCCTCCAGTCCTCTGTCCCCACTGTTCCCTTGGTCCTTTGTACTCACTGTTCCTTTGGCCGTCCGTCCCCACTGTTCCTCTGGTTCTCTGTGCCCACTGCTCTACTGGTCATCTGTACCTACTCTCCTTACCCTTCTGCTACATGCATTTAATTATTAGTTATTTCCGAACCCGGTACATGTGAGACTACCCCAATTTTGGTTACGCTGTAATAACGCAAGTCCTCGCTCGTGATCTTCATGAAAATAATTTTCCATGTGTGGATTTTATAAAGTCTAAGAAAGTGACAGAATTATTCGCGTCGCTTTCCTTGTTTCAATTGTAAGTTGTGGAGCGTCGATCTAGAACATTTTTGTCCAATGTACTGTATAACTTTAATTTTAACTAAACGCAATGGAAGGTATGAGAAACTTATCACGTGATCTTCATTTTGTCACGGACGAGCAAATAAGCTTTCTAAAGGTGTTACGTAAATACATACACTAAAGCTAACGAAGTTTGTGTTTAACTACTATACTGAGTCGGTTTCGATGAAGTTTGTCGTCGTTTTAAGATTTCTTGGATTTATTTGTGTGATTCACCTCTCAGGTAAGTCACAGTTTATAGCGTTTCTTAACCTCTGGGCGGTTGTTGAGAGAGTGGGATTTGAAGTTAAGCACAAGTGCAAATTTAATGGCCCTCGATTATGTTTAAACAACATTCCACAATAAGGTAAAATTTCCGCACGGCCCCATACTAGTTGTTAAACAAATCTGTTTTCCCAATGGCAATGTATTGTTTTTGTCATTGTTTTCTATATCCAAGAACTGAATGCCTAATGTTGGATGCATGGGGCTGTGCGGAAATTTTATCCTCGTATTTTCAAAAAGTTTGAAACAAGCTTTAGGTGGAAATTCCGTGAAACGATCTGACTAACGAGCATTCAGTCCCTTTATTCGTGGTCAGAGTCAGTGCACTCAAGTTCTTCCACAACGTGAAATTTACCGCTCGTCAGAAATAACGGAGATGACGGAGGTCACAGTTCTTCGCCGCATGCATATTGATCACATTAGTGCGGAAACTAATTCAAGATCAGCTTAAAAATTTTCAATCTTTTTGCAGAAGCATTTAACTGGACAGTGCAAACTGACAATCCCACACTGGTAATAAAAGGAGAGGACAAGTCACTTATATGGGAGTTCACTCTAACTGCTGATGAACAGGCCAAGAAAGATCTTTTTTATTTTGTGAAATGGCGCAAGTTTAATCAATCAAGGCTAGAGTATGACTTGGTCGGTGCGAAGACCTTTGTGAAAGCTTTTGGCTCAACTGCTTATGATGAACCCATGGCACCACATATTAAGGTTGATAGAAATCGCCAAGCCACATTACTCATCAACAATGTAAGGAAAGAAGATGAAGGAACATACAAGATTGAGTACAGTGTACAACTGGATGCAACATTACTGGCTTATCAGGAATTTAATATAACAGTTTCAGGTAAGGTCCTATGTGTGAGAAGTTGTTGTAGCTCTACCCTTGTTGTTAAGTGGGTCAGTTAGGTTCATTCAGTCTTTAAATTGAGAAAAAATGATCTATATTCTCAAAATTATGAATCAAGAAATATATAGAATACCTTTTGTATTATTTATTATTTTTGGTAATTGTTAAGCCAGGGCCTAGGTTTTACTGGGCAAGATTAGTCAGCATCCTTTCAAAACAAAGTGTCTACTCTGTAAAATTCAGCAGATTTAGAATTAAGTGTAGTGTTGAGCTAATAGTTGCTCTGATCATCAATTTTCTGAACAGGTTAGGAATCTTTCTGCTTCCAAAGTAATATAATGTGATCTGGAATAAGTGAAATCATACCAAAACACTTTTGTATTAAGTTGTGAATCGAAAAAAGAACAAGTGCAATAATTTTGTTATTGTATCAGATGCCACTGAAGCAAATGTGTGAATCAGTTGGTGAAATATCATGTGAATCCACCCAAACTAAATAACGCATGCTAAAATAGTATATAACATACACATTGATGTATTTAGCAACAATTTGTGGCAAAACAAACAGAAAGAAAGCATTTATTGTTTTTTACTCAATAAGGATTTACAGTATAGCTTTATCTTGTTTGGCACAAAAACGTTTATTCTTCCCTGGAGAGGATAGGCAAATAAAAGTGAAACTGTGGTAATTAGTACTTTCCTTTAATTTTTTTGCATATATTCAGAGTCATATGACCAGTTGCATTACATGATTCATGGTCTTATAGAGTAAGCAAACTTCCTGTTATGAAACTGACGTTGCGTAAGAAGTTTAGTCTTAGTCTTAAAACATAGTGAAAAGGGTCAGGAACCCCATTATAAGACAGCCTTGTTTTCATGTTGAACAGTGGTTTGTCCATGAAAACACCCTCTAAATGCAAAACCTATACCACAAGTTGACTTTACAAACTACTTAGCATTAATCAGCAGGTCATCCACTACCAAAATTTATTATAAAACCTTTTCTAAGATGTGGGTTGTGTGAAACATCAATTTTCCAGTCCTGGCTTCTGGACTAACAGGGTATCTGATTGGTTAATGTAATGATGTACTCTTCAGTTCATTCCAGATTCTTTTTTGGTATTCAAAAGAGGTTTCAGCCAGTGTTACATGAAACTTTTAAAATTCACACATACATGTATATTACTCCACACACTTCTTAGGATTCTGTAGATAACCAAACCAGCTCCATTTCCTGTCTTTTTTCCTTGGAATAATTTTCTTCAATTGAAATTAAAAGGCAACTACTCTTTATCCAGAAAGGTTGAAAATAGTATTACTAGAAGTATTTAACAGTAGAGGCACAGTATTTGTTTCAAACAGTTTAATAGGGTTTAATAGATGATGATTATGAATGTAATATTCATTAATGATGGTGCATGTGATGGGATATTTAGGCAATTTTGACTTACTGAAGATTGCTCTCTTGCATTAGATTAACAAATCACTCTCAGTTATGATATGGAAGTACTGTGTCATGTTTTGACATACTGTGTTAGCTAAGTTTGAAATTATAGAGGGAATGACTTTAAATTTTAATTGTTTAAAAATTTCTCCTCATTTTTCAATGCTAATTACTTGACTATTCTACAGAACCCCCTGAAATTGTTAATGTGACTGGTGACCAATATGTTTGTGAGGGTTCTATGGTAACTTTGAGTTGCAACGCAACTGGTAAACCAATACCAAGTATTACTTGGACAAGAGTGTGGAAAAATGGTGCTGACAGTGGAGAGCTACCATCTATGGATGGGATTTATGTCATCAGTAATACTAGCAGAAGCTCAAATGGAACATACCGCTGTACAGCATCCAATGGAGCTGGGACTCCTGTGAATCAGTCAACAGAGGTGATTGTAGAATGTAAGTTATCATGCTGTCTTTTTGATTATGTAAACTTATTATCCCTGTATTTGCACTTAATGTACATTATTATTGTAATTTATGTATGGTCTATAGGAAAAGGGAGTCTTAAGTGATGCACTATTTTCCAAACATGACTCAATCAGCCCTTCTATAGTGCAACTTGAAGGGTTAAAGATTGGTAACAGACCAAATTTTCGGCATTTTTCTATGCTAGCTTCCTCAGATTGGATCGAGTATACACATTAGTTGATGTGTTGTGATGTCTACTTAATTTAAGCTCAATGTATTGCAAACAGCTATTCTTCATGTACATAAATGATGTGAATTCTGAGTATTACTTGGAGTCCCTTCATACATCACCCTTGTTATTTTTCCTGACTGTTAACAGAAGGTTACGATATTTATTGATTGAGTTTACTGTACAGTATATGGATCTTCCATATAGGGGAATGTTATGAGAAGAAATAATTTGTAGACCAGCCACATGTAAGAAGAATGATAAATTCTATGGAAAATATTGGTTTTTAACTTTTGTTTGTGGTCAATATCAAAGTCAGGCAGTCCACAAGTGTCAACAACTATGGCCCCATACGAACTTCAATTACTTAACAACCAACAACAGTCCTTCTCAAGACTGCACTCACTTGGACAGTCAGATTACAGATCAAATGTTAATGCCATTCAAACTGTTTACTGAATATTGTTAGTATTACACCCCTAATAGTATAAGCCAAGAAATTTCAGAGATTTGATTGGTTGACAGTATCACTATTTCAGCATAATGGTGGTATAGCAGCAATTAAAAGTGGAGGGTATGAGAAGGTTACCAGGACAACACTGAACACAATTACCTTATGGCTTTTCTTTTCAAAAAAAATTGCTGGCAAGATTCCCGGATATTTCTGGTGTGGAAATTGAAATGCTTGCCAAAAAAGCAGTAAACAAAATGCAGTCAAAGCTATACAAACATGTTGATGAATGTTTGGAGGTCTTGGGCAGAAACAAGGGTCTTAACAGTGACATTTTCAAATATGAAGCTTAAACGAACTGGATGAATGTCACTCTTGATTCTTTGCCGAAATTTGCAATAGTGAGTTTAGTTTGCCCATGCAGCATAACCAAACTGTGACTTCAGTTTGTCAAACAGTAGTCCACCACTTTTATGGCTGTCAGGTGACGATAAACAATGGTGCTGGCATTGGGTGTTTTTAAGTAAAGCAGCAATTAAACACTGGCAGAAGCTTGCCCTTACCTTATCTTGTGGTTTCGCTTCACCACTGCAGTGACTGCAAAAGCTGTGATTTGAAAATTTCTTTCATTGAACTATATTTCATGTTGTTTGCCTTCAACGGTTTGTAATGGTTTTGCAAAAAACTTTTGGTCCTTTTTTCTTTTTCATTGATGTAAAAAGATTGTTAGGAATGCAGAAGCCTGTGTTTGTTTTTTCAACTGTGATGAATAGAGGTCTTCTGTGCATAACAGGTAAATTTCTAGTCTTCCATTATAAACAAATAATAGCATGACCTGTATGTGGTATTTTGCTGTAATACTGGCTTGTAATATTTCAAAATTGTCCAAAATACCACTCACTGCCTTGTACTCCGTGGTATTTTGGACAATTTTGAAATATTACTCATGGTATGCCAAATAATAGGGATAATTTAACTCTGAAAAAGGAATATGCTAGAACTACCATGCTAAAATATTAATTTTTCATAGAATTGTAGATAGATGGAATGATCTACCTATGGACACTTGCTTTGGAACTAAAAAAAAAACATTTAGGTCAAAAGCCAGACATTTTTAATTGTAATATTCTTATTTAAGTGTGGGAATGAGGTGGTTGATTTTATTGTTTTAATCTTACTTAATTACCATTTTGGTGGTCTGTTTCTATATGGGGTCAAGAAATCCTTTACAGATCTTCCATATGGCTTGTTTTTTATTTTATCTTTTATTTTTATTCTTTTCTTTTGTATAGCAGCTAGTTGCCATTAAATCATAATAAATACCACTACAAGTCATGCTATTAACTATACTTACAATGCTGATAACTACCATACTCTAACTAATGGCAAAGAGATACTGCTACTAATACTAGGACTAATTACTACAACTGATTTTTCTTCTCACTTACAATATATAATTACTCGGGCTTTCCTTCGGAAGCCCGAGTCTTTAAATGCAAGCCGTTCTTTGAGTTCTTGGTCGTAAAAGGGGATCATGGTCTCAGCCGTTCACGGTGTAAACCGTGGAAACTAGGGATAAGAGTGCAACAGCTTATGTTATTACGTGCTCGTTTTTCGTTAACAACATAATTTACAGAATGCTGTGTTTTGTGAGGATCGCATTGCAAAGATTCCTGTCTTATACGCTCATCTCACATACATTTAATGATGTCGAGCGTTTTTCGGAATGGGCCGGTCCACGAACTCTACAGCTTGAAAGGCTAGCCAAATGTGCAAAGTTCATACTAGCTTCACGAGAGAACAAATGAGCCATATGTGACTTCAAACTACGAAAATACTGGCAAAACTGTGATAGCCGATTAGACAACAAACTATAACACCTCATTTGCTGAAAAAATCAATAATGTTCGCGAACACAACTTCGAAGGTGCAGGCGCTAACAACAGCGAATTGGATAAGGATACTGACAGAAGCAACTTGAATAGTAAGGTTAAATGTCGAAGCTTAGCTCTTCTGTTAAATGTCCTGTTTCTGTCATTGGTTTTATTGGGTTCAATACTTGTAAAGTACGATTTGGTATTTCGTACATAATCACTATTATTACTGTACAAGCGATCTTGAATGTTGGTTTGCTCCTCGCATGGAGTTGTATGTGCTTTGTAGAAGACATGATGAATACTCTTAATGACTGTGATCTACTGGAAAAAGTTGTCAACATGACTAATGTACATGAACATAATGATGTTACATTGTCAATAAAAGTACAACAATTCAGATCATGTTATGCAATGTATGTATATTATAATTGTACTCGTGTTTTGTGTGAATGCCATGGCTATAGACGTGATCGTGAATCAAGCAGAGTACCAGTGAAGATGTTAAAACGTTTCTCTCAGAAAATTATAAAACTGCAGAGTTATGTTTAAGTAAAAACGTACCAAAGTCATCGAATGTCTATGATCTTATTAAAAATAATGCAAAACGAAAGAAAAATATATATATATACTATAATCTTTAATGAGGATGCCAGCGTCACAAAAGTGGTTTACAGGAGGGTCCTCTTAAATTAAATACTAATACAAAGATAAATTACAAATAAAAAACAAATAACTAAAACTAAATCTAAGAACTAATTAAAAATACTAATCACAAAGTATTAACTAAGAGTAATACTAGTAAGGTAAATTAAAATTCAAAATTAAATTTAGACAGGCCACGTTTGAAGGCAGGCAGTGAGTTTGCATTTCTTAGTGAGATGTCTAAACCATTCCATACATCTGCGCTAAAGTTAACTGACGACCAATGACCCCATCTTCTTGTGGCACTGGATTTTCGAACGTCATTTCTCGATCTTGTATTGTAACCATGAAAGTCCCGATTAAATGTGACAGGAATAGTATTACATGAATGGTTGTTAATTAATTTGTACATAAAGATGGCATGGTGTTCTTTTCTACGACGCAGTAATGGTTTCCAGCCAAGTCTCTTTAGGGCCTCAGTTGCGGAAAAATAAACAGGTAAGTCTAAAATGAGGCGAGCGGCCTTATTCTGCAACACTTGCAGCTCAGACATTAAGGACGCATTTCCGCGATCTCCCCAGATGATATCCCCATAGTCAAAAATAGGTAAAATGAAACTATTGAAAAACATAATTCTAGCGTTGAGGGGGAGGCAAGATTTAATACGCCTTAAAAGACCTAACTTTCTACTGACCTTACTACGAATATAATCAATGTGGTCAGTCCAGGAGAAGTGGTTATTAATCACAATGCCTAGGTAAGTAAAAGAATCTACGTTATCGAGAGGGGTATCATCAGCCGAAATAAGTATGGACTCAACTTTGTTCAAGCGGGAACTACTACCGATAAGCAAAAATTTGGATTTTTGAACATTCAGAGTCAGTTGGTTTGCCCGAAGCCACCTACATATACGTTTTAAGTCATCGTTAATCTTACTTTGTAAGTCTACAGTAGATTTGGAAGCGAGGTATAAAACAGTGTCATCTGCATATAAAGTAACCTGACAGGATTGCAAAACATCAGGTAGATCATTCATGTAAATTATAAATAAAAGTGGGCCCAATATAGAGCCTTGAGCAACGCCAGTCGATACAGCGGCAGCTTTGGAGCAAGCATAATCACAGCTAGTCATTTGTGTTCTGTTTGTTAAGAATGAAGTAAACCAGGCTTTGCCAGCATCATCAACACCATAAGTTGAGAGTTTCTGGAGCAGTATTGAGTGATTGACAGTGTCAAACGCTTTGGCGAGGTCTAAAAAAACCGCACCGGTCAGGCAACCATTATCCATGGAGTGAAGGATCTGATCAGAAAGCTGAATGGTGGCAGTAATAGTAGATGACTTCAATCTAAATCCAAACTGGTTGGGTGAAATTAAATTATTCTCAGTAAGATATGCATAAAACTGAGTATGTACCGCCTTCTCTAAAATCTTGCTTACAGTCGGGAGAATGGAAATTGGCCTGTAATTAGAAGCATTCAATTTATCGCCCTTTTTAAACAGGGGTATAACCTTTGCTGTTTTCCATAACGAAGGAAATGTTCTTGTTTGAAGGGATAAATTGAATAAGGCCGTAAGAGAAGGAGTGATAACGTCCACAGCATCTTTTAAGAGACGCGCGCTAATTTTGTCGAGACCAACGGCCTTATTGGTTTTCAATGAACTGATGGATCTTGAGACAAAATCTTCACTAATCGGTTGAAACGTAAAAGTCGAGTGGCAGGCCGTAGCTTTAGCTATGTACGGTTCGGAAACGATTTTTTCGGCAAGGGATTTACCCACGTTCACGAAATATGAATTAAGAGTCGAGGCAATAGATTGAGCTGAGGTGAGAAGGACACCATCAGCTAACAAACTGGTAATCCTGGAGGAAGTTTTAGACGAAGGTAGAGTTTGTTTTAAAGCTTTCCAGAAGTCTTTAGAGCTTGATTTACTGCCGTTAATTATTAGGTTAGTGTAATAATCAGATTTGGCTTTCTTGATACTGTGGGTTACCTTGTTCCTCAATTCACGGTACAGGCGCCAATGAGTGTTATTTTTATTCCCCTTGGCTTTTTTCAGATGGTGATCTCGCTTATTCATTAGAGCTATAATGCTAGAGTTTATCCAAGGAATAGAAAAGCCTCTAACCCGGCTTGTTTTTATTGGAGCATGTACTGCGGCAACCTCTGAGAATAATTTGTTCCAGGTGTCAATACAGTCATCAATATCTTCATGGTTATTTAAAGCCACATGCCAAGGTACTTGGCGGAGATCAGATACAAAGGAATCTTTGTCGTAATTTTTATACGAGCGAAACTGGATCATTTTTGGTGGAGCTCGGTGACGACCGCTCTTCATGACACAGTAAATCAAAGAATGATCGCTCAAACCAGGATCTAAAACAGCGGACTCCGTAATTTTTTGCTGAGCGTTGGTAAAGCATAAGTCGATGAGAGATTCGGAGTGTTCCGTGACACGTGTCGAAGATTCAATCACTTGCTTGAGATCGTGTAGCTCAGCAATTCCCTTGAGCAATCGTTTATGAGCCAAATTTGCATTTCTCCTTCTAATCGAAAAATCTATATTAAAATCACCAAGCGCAACTTTATCAAACGCAGGGTCGATCTTGGACAATGATTTACCGAAGTTATCAGTAAAGTTGTCGATCGGTTGATCTGGTGGTCTATAGATACAACCAATAACAAGAGGTGTACAATTTTTTCGGTTGACTTGAATCCACACGGCTTCATTTGCATTATTTAGGTCTTCGCGAATAGTAAAATTGATAGAATCGCGGCAATAAATTGCCACTCCTCCACCAACCTTTCCTTGGCGATCCCGCCTCACACAGCTATAGCCGGGCATAAGAATCTCGTCGTCAGTAACCGAATCATTAAGCCAAGTCTCCGAGAATGAAAATATGTCAAACGACTTAGTACCGCCCATGATAAGGTTCACTTGATCCATCTTGTGTAGCAGACTGCGAATATTAAGATGAGCCATTGCTAATCCTCTACTTTGGGGACCAAACGATAAGCCAGAATTTTTTAGTTGAAAAGAAGGACCAGGTTGAGGACAGATGTCTCCAGCTAACAGTATAAGACCAGCAGCAAACAGACTAAACTGTGCAATGTTAAGAATTCTGTAGGCTTTTAGAGCGGGAAGAGTGGTATCCGAAGCAGCATAACGCGATCTTCTCAAACCATCATTACGGCCCGGGTAGTACTTAGCATCATAACCAGCGCTCACCAGCATATAGGTTGAGCTTTTATAAAAAGCCATGTCATACTTGAATTGACAAAATATCAAAAATAGGAACAGTAAAAGAGAGACTTGGCAGAGCGCCCGCTTCGCATGTGCCGCCATCTTGTGATCAATCTTAACTAGATTGATCACATAAAATAAATACACATAAAACAAGAGCTAGGTTTGTACAAAAAATTAGAAGGAAACTTATTTTTATAACAAGAAACCTTCAATGAGGTATGTCTACGATTGAAGTAGAGATAAACATGGAAAGAAATTTCTCAAAGACGTAAGGTTCTCTTGATATAATTTCCTCTATAGTGAGTGAGGGGTGTAATTCACAGAGGCAATTATACAAAAAAGAAGCTCTATAATGATATATAGAAAAACCCTGGTTCCGGTATGTGTGGAGCCCAGTAAAACTATAGAAACACCATATATAGTCAAGTGGATGTTGTTGTATTTGGACAAAATGGAGGGCAACAATGTGTTTCAATGAGTTTATGTGCATTAATATACCACAATATGAAAGGAATAGGCAATCCCGATGACTTCAAAAAAATAATGCATGTTGGAAATTAACTACATACTGTAGCAGTTTGTCACAATTATCAAGACAATCATTTTAACTGCTAACAGATTTACCATCAATGCTTACAGTAGTAACGGAAGACTGCCAGCTAGAATACAGTGAAAGTTGCACTGATAATGTTCATTGAAAGATATAAATACTGTATGGGCCTGAAAAAAACTCTCTGATATCAGAACGATATAGGTCATTTATTGTGACAGTTGGATGATTGTCGTGGGTATTAGTTACTTTGCTGATAATGACCATTTTAAAGTGTTTTACTCACATGCTAGAGATGTTTATGGTAAAAGTCATCCTCTAGGGACATGCGTTCTATTAAATATATCATCTACAGACAATTTAGTGCATTAGGTTGCTAGAAGACATTAAAAGAAAGTATTCAACTATGGATGCTACAAAGATGAAAGAATTACTTTCCCAACACAATGAGAAATTATTGAAGGCCAGATTGGTTGAATTGTGTATTAACCAGTTTAAGAGGAAAATAAGAGAAGGCCCTTATTTTATATGTACTGTCTGTAATCGAATACTTTATAAGAAATCAGTAATAACATGCATAAACAAGAAGTTAACCCTTGCCAAACATATTTCAATATTCAACAGTTATTTGATGAAAAAAAGTATGTATGCAACACATGTCGTTCAAAGGTTATAAAAGGAAAATTACCATGTCAGACTGTAGTGAGTAATATGTATATGGATGAAATACCCAGAGAACTATCCTCACTTGAAAAACTAGAACAAATTCTAATAGCTCAACAAATAGTATTTGAGAAAATTATGGTCATGCCTTAAGGACAACAGAGAAAAATGAAAGGTGCAATATGCAATGTACCCGTAGAATGTGATCAGACTTGTAATCAACCCCCTCGTCCACCGGACAGATTTGGTATAATAATGCTAAAGCTTAAGAGAAAGTTACAATTTAGAAGACATGTTTATTTTCAAGCAGTATGACCAGAGTTAATACAGCAAGTTCTTAACTGGCTCAAAGTACATAATCCATTGTACAAATATATACTAGTTGATATTAACAGTATTGATAGCAACCTCACAACTTTACAAAATAATGCAGAAGATAATGATACGCATCAACACGCTACATCAAAAAATGTAGCAACAGATAGTGACGCTGCATTGGAGTATGATGCAAAAGAAAATGATAGATTAAATAGTAATGAAGAAGAAATGATGATCCCTTAAATGAATATAGAGCTTCAGTATGTGAGACATGCTTAGAGTATATGATAACAAACTATCTAGTGGTGAATGCTCAAGTAAAATGCTCCGTACGAAGCCCGAGTGAATGCTCGTTTAGCGTCAAGTTGAACATACTAAAACACCTGAAGCATACGATACCTACCAAAATGCTTAGAACCTAAACGTTGACAACAAAAAGTAATAGCTGATAACCAGACAATAACTACACATTGAACAAAAAATGTATGCATATGAAAAGTAAAATTGTTATTGTTGACTCGACTTTTAATTTTACTTGAGCTAGTTACATGTATTTACAGCTTTTCGCGTATAAGTGTTTAATAATGGTGGTAACATTAGAGCAGAAAATGGATGAAAAGATTCAATTGATATAGACTTACACTTGCATATCCTCAATTGTAATCAAAAATGAGTGTCAAAACTTTTGCCCGAAAATGAGGGTGAGGAGTTAGAAGTACATTCAATTGATTATTGGCAAATAATGAAGTAGGTTGGAGTTTGGATTATGTGTTTTTTTGTTTTTGTTTTTAATTTTAGTCTTTCACTTTCATCAAAAGTAAAATTAGGGTAAAATTACACCTGCTATATAGACTCAGGTTTGGTTGGGTTTTTAAAGAGTTTCTCTGCCATTTTATTGAAATCCAATGAGGAGGAACTGTGTAGCTGCTTATACTTTAATTTAATACATTTTTGAGGTGAAAGGTATGAAGGAGAAAGTGAAATACCGTCCAGGGAATATTTTTTTATCTCAACGCTAAATTTCAGGGTTATAATTAGAAGATGGTAAGTAGCAGAAACCCACCTGCTGTCAGACTATTAAGTTTTCTAATTGTGATCACAGACAGAAAATATCGAACTGATTCTAGCATTATTTCTATGTCTGGATTAAAAAAAGTTACCCAAAAATGTCCCAGATGCTGGATATAACAACTTCAAGAAAATCAAATTTTTCAGAGGGAGCAGACCTTAGAACCCCCTGGGAGGGCACTTTGCTTTCTACACAACAAAAGTTTAATTCAATTCAGCCCCCTACTCAGTTCAGCTCAATTGTATCGATTGTATTCTGTGAGACGACCCTGAAAATCTCAGGATCATGGTTGTTAAAAAAAAACTGTACTAGACAGACGTGATATTTGATATAATATAGATCCTGAGTGTGAAATGATTGAACTTGCATTTGAAGATGCTTCTAACTCTAAGATGCATCAAGGTGAAAATGAATGTTTTAGATAGTGCTTAAATTTACATGTTAATTTACCAGAAAGGAGATTTAAAGTCTCAGAGTGACATAGATTGAAAAAGTTACTATCAATTAAATTTATCAATTTAATTGCAGATTCTTCTTCTGTGGACAGTGTAGTTAAATCTTCTAATGCTGCGATTGAAGGTCATCCATATAGCCTGGGTTGTGAGGTATCTGGGAATCCTGTGCCAAGTGTTTCTTGGATCAAAGTCAGCAATGATGAGCATCGTATTGGGAAGATATTAAATTTCACTAACATCAGCAGAAATGATGCTGAAATGTACACATGTGAAGCAAGTAATAGATGTGGAAATGACTCTAAGACTGAATCTATCAACGTGATCTGTAAGTAATATGTTTTGCAAGTTTGGTAAATTTTAATTTTTTTGGTGGATAAACTTAACTTAACTATGATAAAGGTCACCTAATAAATGTAGTTACATTACATTATAACAGATCAAGACAATGCAGCAGAATGAAAATGTTGCAGAAGGGCTGGATAACCAATCTCTGTCATTAGATTTTCTCCAATGTTTAATTTTCTTGACTAAACGATTGATTTTTAACAAATCCACGAAAAGATGCTTTGATTATTAGTAAATTCCCTCGCAAAAACAATCCTATTTTATATTTATTGTAAGTCTATTTTAATGCAATCACATCTATTTTTATACTATTTTATTCTCTCAGACTTATATTTTATTCTTATTTTACCTGATGGGGAAAATAGAGCCACTATTTTAATTGTGTTTTACTTTTATTTTAAACCTATTTTAAAGCAAGATTGAACAAGGTGGTGTATTTTATTTCTATTTTCTCAAAACAAGTGGAAAAATAACCAGCAAAACAGACTATTTTAATCCTATTTTCATTTCCTACATCAGTAAAATAGTGATAAAATAGTCTGTATTATTTATATTTTCTGCTGATAGGACATGCTATGGCCATTTCCTTTGGAAAATATGAAAAAAAATAGCCTTTCACAATCCTATTTTATCAAAGGAAATTTGAATAATTACAATAGGTTTAAAATAGTCTGTTTTATTTCTATTTTTTGAGGTGGATTCCATTCCATTGCAAAATATGTATTAAATAGTCTATTTTAATTCTATTTTCTCCAAAGTGTCCAAGATCCACAATATATAAACAGCAACTGGACGTGTAGTGCAATAACCCGTCATATTTTTTTCCTATTTTATTCGTGAATTCAAGCTTGAATAACAATGTATTGTTGTTCTATATTGCAAAATATAATTTTAAGGCAACTGTTTGGTACTTGCACCAATCATATCTTAACTACATACACTGTAATTTAAAAGTCACAGTTTCTGTGTTAACAAGATAAAAACGGGTTCAAAATTGGAAACATCAAGCCGACATTTTTCACCTGCGTTGTTGTAGCTTTCAAATTTCCTTTAAGTTTCTTTCTTCGCCAAAGAGCTGAACGCGAAGGCTTGCCTTTAACATCGAATCTCCTCTTTTTATTGCCCAGATCGTTGCTTAGGTCATGTTTAACTGAAATTGATCAACAAATCGATCAGCACTCCCTTGCGAACTGAATTCCCAGTTTTCTGGGAATTCCTATGAATTCCTAGGAATTCTTAAAGATTCCTAACTATGCAAATAAGCTCTGATTTGAAAAGCTTGGAATTACAAGAAATTTCTGGGAAAGAAATTGTGTGGACTTGGAATTCTTAGAAATTCTCATCTATACAAACTACCTATAATTTATGAAGGGTGGAATTCTTGGGAATTTCTGGGAACTGAATTTGAGGCAATTAAATACTCTTGAATGTAAAGTTTTTGAGACAAGGATTAATTTTAGAGGCTTAAACACTAGGCTCAATACAAAATTTACCAATAGATATACATATATGTATATGTTTGTAATTTAAAGATCATGAAATGTACTATTCAAACTAAGTTTTAGTAGATCTTTACATTAATTTCGTAAAAAAGGTTGTGGTTATTCATCGTGGTGAATAACCATAAACGCTAAGTTTTTTCGTTTGTCTCACGATGTAGTCACATGTGATGTAGATCGCGACATTTCGACTGCATACTGCTAGTCTTCTTTAGGCGATGAGGTCGACTGGTCATGCGTGATCTTATAAAGCATGATGCTCTGCTGTGATTAGTTGTTTTTCAACAGCTCTGATTGAGGCATTTCGATCCTTGCTGTTTCACTCAGTGATTTGCTCCCTCGGCGGTCCGCTGTCGCATGGCTCTCCTGTTTGATCGTGGGCATCCACGCTTCGAATTCTATTCCACTATCCCTGTTGATTTTGTTAGGGTTAAGTCTTATATGAATTGCCTCCTTGACCCTGTGCGTGTAGTAATAAGGGTCACGATCGCTAAACTTCACTTCGTTCCAGAGCGGCTTGTGTCCGGTGTTGTGGGCATGCTCTGAAACGGCGGAGGACTCGGCACGGGCGAGTCGGTTGTCTCGATCGTGCTTCCTAATTCTGTCTTGCATAGGTCTTCCAATCTCTCCGATGTACACCTTGCCGCATTCACAAAGAATCCTGTAAACTACGCCATTTTGTTTAGCCGGGTCGACAGCGTCTTTTGGTCGTACTAACTGAGATCTTAGCGTAGTCTTCGACTTGAAAACAGCGCGTACGCCTTGTTGTTGTAGGCAACGTCGAAGCTGTTTGGACAGACCTTTGACACAAGGTAAAACCGCAGTAGCTTTGAATTCGTTGGCGGGTTCGGCACTGTTGTTTGGTTTTCTGGTCTTGGTAAGTTTCTGCAAGAAAGAAGAAGGATAATCATTGGAAACCAGAACAGATGACAGATGTTTTTTCTCCTCGGAGATAACGGAGGGTTTTGTTACGAGACGTTTGGCGCGCTTGTAAAGGCACTTAAAAATACCGCGTTTTACTAATTGAGGGTGGTGTGAATCATACGCTAAGTATTGATCGGTGTGCCTGGGCTTCCTGTATACGCTGGTGGTGAGGCGACCGTCAGGTTCTCTTAAAACTGCGGTGTCTAGGAAGGCGAGTTTGTTGTCTTTCTCTGTCTCCATGGTGAAGTGGATGGAAGGCTGCTTTTTGTTTAGATGCTGTAAGAAGTCATCCACGTTTTCGCGATCCTGGGTGGTAAAGGTATCGTCCACGTAGCGTTTCCAGATCCTAGGCTCGTAGGATGATATAGTTATCGCCTGTTCTTCGAAACTCTCCATATAGAGGTTAGCAATAACAGCGGAAACCGGACACCCCATGGCAGCGCCATCTTTTTGCTCGTAAACAAAACACACTTAAAAAGAAATGTCTGATGTTTCGAGCATCAGTCCTTTATCAATAGCTCTGAAGAAGTGCTAACACCCGAAATGTCAACTTTTTAATTGTTTACTGTGGCCAATTTATGTTATCAACTCAGTTGATAATACTAAATTACTCTCCCACCGATGCAGCACCACAGTCTCTTTAGAAACTTACCTCCTTTGGTCGTGACATGGTATACTCAAGCAGAAACTTTGAAGCAATTTCATTCACAGGATGATGTACATGTAGTTTAATTGTTATTTTTATCTGTGATGCTGTTCTTTTGAACCATTTCTTTGACAAAGGTCAGTCAATTACATTTCAGGGAATGTTTCATTAGGTACTATTAAGTTGATGAATGGGAAACTCATGTACAATGTACTCTTTCCCAACTACATCATGTTATTCTACCAAAACCAAGCATGGAGTTTGAAAATCACCCAAATTATTCTTCAAGTCTGGAAAAGCAATTGGTTTTACATGAACAGGTGTATGTCTAATTAACTGAATGTTGTACCCCAGAAGAATATGGATTTACCTTCCACAAAAGTTTTAAGGGAAGGGTCTTGAAACTTTTTGAGCTAGAAACTGAACTACATTATAATAAAGATTATAATTACATTTATTTATTTGAAACCCTAGAAGAGGCTCAAGAGATATGAGTGTTTTAGAATTGAAATTAATTGCAATATATTTGATTATTTGCTAAAGAAAAAATGCCAAAAAGTGTCAGCTGATTAACCAATAGAGTATCATGCATCACAAGTGATGCATAATAAGTTGACAGTATTGCCTAATAAAGTCTTTGAAATTTGAAAACATGAACACTTAACCTGGCGATTGAGTTAAATGAGAAGTAACCACATTGCAAGATAGAATATGTTGTATAGAAATAGAAATAAATAAAAGAGTTAAACTTTGTAAGAATTCACTCTCATTATGCTCTTAAAATTATTGAAACGAGAGTCCTTTTTGGATAAAATTTTTTCAAATAATTTATGCATTATTATTTTTGTGCTGTTGCTGTTAAGGAACAGGACATGAGTGAATGAATTATTTGCTCATGAATGACATAGTGAGCTTGTCATATTGTTCTTCCAGTCAAACCAGAGATTAAGCAGTTCACAACATCTGCTGCCAGCCACACAGCATGTCAGAATGACATCATTAGCTTTAATTGCTCAGCTGATGCTAATCCATTGGTGACATACCAGCTATTTGAGAACGACACTGCTATCTTGGACACAAACACTTCAGGAATGTGGAGCAGGAACATGTCAACTAGAGGAGTGTTCATATACAAATGTGTTGCCAACAACACTTATGGAACTGGAAATAGTGAAAATATTGTTGTTCATGTGTATGGTGAGTGACTTTATTCTGAGTTTTATTCTTCACTTTAGTTAACATAAGCAAGGCTCATATGTAGGATAGCAAATGATGATTTGTAAATGTTATATGACTATGAAGATGTTCCTCTGTAGGGTTCTTCAATCCTACGATCCCGACTAATATTTTCTCTCAAGTCTTAATCCTGACCGTTTATACTGATCAATCCCGATCCCACAATTTTGTCTGAGTCCATTTCTGTAACCTAGGAGGACCTTTTCGGTGGGTGATTATTTTCTCAACCAGCATTGATTTTGAAGTCTATGGTCACCGTAAGGCGTAAGTTATCTCTTTTCGCTAAAATGAGGATAAAGTTAATTCAAGAAGTTTTAAAGGTATTGCACGAATAACATACGCTATAGTCACGCTAACGACTTCCTTCCGTTAAAATTCGATTATGGACAAACGCATTTAAGTAAAGACACGTCATTATCAAAGAAACGAATGACAACGTTAACAAGTGCGTAAAACACAATAGCTGACGGCAATCCCATAGTTCCGTAACAAGGGAGATAAAGTTAAATGAACACAATTCTGCTGTTGAAGCGAACACTATTGTAAACTTCGAGACGTAATTTCTTGATTCCTTTTATTGATTCGTACTTACTACAACAACATCTAATTCGTATCGTAAAACCTAAACTTCGTAACTTCGCATAACTACTCGTCTTCGCTTCGAAAAG